AGAAATTGCCAACTTCATCTCTTCGATTCTCCCTACTCAAAAATGATCTTGAAGAGTTATTGGATATTTTGGAAAGCTTGCAATATTCTCTATAACTCATCTTTCAAATGCATTTTGAGATACCTCTTAGAACTAGGTGAAAAATTGCCATGAAGTTGGGTCCAAAACCTGCCTAAATTAGGGCAAAATTTCACTAAGTTATTTAGTTCATGAGCATGTAATCACAAATTTATATCTTGAGATCCAAGCATCTTTATGGAAAATTGTGTGAAGCAAAGTTGTAGATTTCATGGAGGTCTACAACTTTCATGTTGGGAACTTTCTTTGAATCATTATGCATCATGGCGAAAAAGTGGCCTAAAGTTGAGAAAAAATAAGAAATTTTCTATACTTAGAAAATTTTCAAATTTAAACCCTAATCTTCAAATTTGGATTTATTGATGAACAAGTTTCACATTTTGACATGTTTTGATGAATTATGAACCTTGACACTTGATTTTGACCAAAAAGTCAAAGTTTGACTTTTCAGTGTACAGTTGACTTTTGATCAGTTGACTGCAAATTTCATTTGTCAATCCAATGAAATTGAAATGTTTTGAGCCATGTAATTAAGTCAAGATGATGAAATTGAATCCTTGAAATCATGCTTTAAATCAATTGGTCATTTGCTAGGTTAAAAATCAGAAATTGCCCTTCCTCGGTCAAAACCCTAATTTTGACCATTTTGCCCTTTTGATGATTTGATCAAATTTCTTGAGGAATTGTAATCCAAACTTGATCAAATAATACATATGAGTCTAAAATGTTGATGTGGATAAAAAATTATTAAGTTTGACTGTAAATTGGCCATGGTTGACTTTTTCCTCAATACAATTGATTTTTAGGTCAACTGTCCAATTGACTGATAAAAAATATGGTTCAAGGTTTGAAACTTGTCATGAGCAATCTTAGGGATCCATAATGATGTCTGAAAGTCACATGAAGCATTGATAGTCCAAAAATCCTTGTGCAATATCGAACCCTAATTTTGGGTCATCAGTGCATGATGAGATGTTTTGAGCTGACCAAACCCTAATCCAGCCCTGAATCAAAGAAACCTTGTGAGAAAAGTCTTGATAAATGAGAGGGCAAATTTTGGGGTACAATAAATGTTATGTACTATAATTTCCTTTATGGTCTTATCACATGTCGCCATTGTTGTCTTTCTTACTTTAGCCTTATTGATGACATCTATAGTTTTCTTTGGGGACCCTTTTTCTCGGTAGAGAGGTCATTTTTTCCTATTGCATTTCCTTCTGAATTGATCCTCCTTCCAATTGTCCCATGGGTGTATTGGGTAAGTTTCCCCTTTTTGATTAGCTTCTTAATTGCAATCTTCAGGTGGATGCATTTGTTAGTGTTGTGGCCTTGCATTTTGTGAAAACTACGATACTTCAATTTATCCGTCTTGACTGATTCCCTTACCAGATACAAGTTCTTGACACCGACTTCTTTAAAGTGAATATTTGTACATTATTTCAAAAATTTCCCCCTTGATATGTTCAAGAGAGTGTATAATGAGAACCTAGCTCGAGGTCCTCGGTCTCTATTGTCTTAACGAAGGTTAAAGTCTTTTTTATTCACCCGACTATGTTTGGGGTTCCTGGCTCATCGGGTTGTCTCTTCTTTCTCAACTATAAGCTCTTCCACATAATTAATATAAGGCCGATACCTATCTAACATGTTATTTAAGCTATTGGATCCTTCCAACTAACCCACCTTCTTGCAAAACATGTAACTAACCCACCTTCTTGAGAAACATGTAGTATGATCTTAACCCCTTCTTGAATATCAAACATTTCAAGCCACCGTTCATCTCCTACTTCTACTGCTACCTTTATGAACCACTCAATATATTCTTGTAGGGTTTCTTTATTTTTCTTCCGGATCCTGCTGAGCACAACTATGATGGCGGGTTTTCACTTTTGCATTGTGAATTGTGTAGTGAAAGAGTCACATAACTCCTTCCAGGAACTTATGATTTTTTCGAAGAGATCCTTAAACCACATCATGACGACTCCCTTTTAGGGTAAACATGAACAATTTACACTTTAGGCACCCGAGCATGATAATAGTCTAACCTGATATCTATATGCTCAATATATTCATCCAGATCCCCCATTTCGTCATAACTCTCCAGCTTCAGTGAATTTTCAAGAGATTTAGGGATCCTTCTATCGAGGATCCTTCTTGAGAATGGGTTGCTCTTTTCCTTACTGATTGGTACTTTAGTATCGTTTTGCGTCTCCCTTTAGAATGGAGTGATAGTAATCGATGATGATGACAATCATCTGGTGGGCGTGACTCCCACCTCTTCCTCCAGAACCATGAGGAAATGTTTGGTGTCCTTGATAATGATTATGGTCTAGAGACTTAGGGGCCTCCCTAAGTTATGAAACAATGTCGACAATGATAGGCTTTTCCCTTCACTCTACTTATCGCACAAAGTGGTCCTTGGCACAAAATTATCCTCGGGGGGAAGTGAACTATAAACTTTCTTTTATCCGAAATATCCTTTTAGCGAGGAAGTGTGAATTCTACTATTATACTAAGTTGTAAATGGTGTTTAAGAGATCATTTTCCCCTTGCACATCTAAACTAGCTTGCATCTGTTGGAAATTGTGGAGCATTCCATGTATAGAAATTATAGTTGCAACGAATGCAGCTTTAAATCTTGACCCTAGACCGACTGTTAGGAGGTTGTAAGATTTGAAGAACTTATAAGGTTCCCTGACTGGCTGTTAGAGGTATTACATTTTATGGATTTGGAACCGTAATAACAGTAACTAAGACAAGAGCTTTTTCAGCCGGAGAGAAGTGGAAATCCCTCACCGGATCTAGAGCTTTTGTTAAGATAGTTGGCGCGACGATGGCATTGCGTGTGACAGTTGAATGCGTTACTTTTGATGCTTTCATGATAATAAGGACTAGATTAATGACCTTTGTGAGGAAGAGATCAGTGCTTTAAAAGAGAAAAGACCGGTGATCCGAGATCGTGGCAAAGAAGTGGTGGCTCTTCGTGGAAATTCCCATTGGCGACACCAATGTTTCGTACATTCACACGAATAGGTGAAAATCAAATATACTTGAGTTTCAATATGGAGTGAACTTCCGGTGCAATGGAGGTGAACTTACAAGTTTAACACTCCAACACCTAAGTTAAAGAATGAGTGAGAAATATACTTTGAGTGTATGAATGGATACATGGAATGACACATGTTATACTTTGTATAAGGTAGTCAATTACAATTGTCTCCATGAGATTCCTTGCCACATGCGAGTGGCCTTATGATCCGATCCAACAATTTGAAGTGTGCTGCAAGTTGAAATCACATATCTTCCACTAGATTGAGGTATCACATGTACTTCACATTTTTCCATATAACACTTATTATTAGGTCTGTTATCGTGAACTTTGCAAACGGTCAAGAACAAGAACGCCAATAAACCATGCCACCGTCAAACGAAAAAGTTTTTATTATAATTCTTTGACAAAATACTTTTTTGGTCTCGTAAGTTAACCTAATTAAAATTTAACTTTGTTAATAAAGAGAGAAAACTAAAGAGGTGGAATGAAGATGGAAATTTATATTATTGATGTGTTGTTTGTAAATGCTCAATATGATATTTAATCACTTCTTATTTTATACTCTCTCAATTCCTTTTTAATTGTCCTTTTTGATTTTTTTATTTATCTACTCAAATTAAGAAATGTAATAATATTGACATAAAATATTTCATTTTTATTAAATTAACTTTATAAATGTGTTAGAAGTAGTATATAGATTAATAATTAAAGAACACAATTGAAAAAATAGCAATTATTATTATATTAAAAAGTAAAAATGACATTCATTTTAAAATAATTTTTTTTTAAATGACACTTATTTTAAAATGGAAAAAATAATTTCCGGAAAGAAAAATGAATAATTGCGGACCAACTCAAAAAACGTGTGGCCATGTTGGTATGCCAATTACGGCTCTACACAATCAACTAATAAACATGTTATTGTTCTTTTTGTACCTTTTACTCCTTTTTAGACTTTGGGCGTTGAAAAGAGTTTCAGCTTAATTCTCTTAAGTCAATTTCTACACGAGAGTATCAACTGTGAAAATAATTCTCATTTCTCAATTCAAAAAATATTTTCATATCATGCTATTTTATTAATGATAGAATGAAAAGTTTGGATGCATAAAAAAGTTATTTAATTCCTCAGTCTAATTTGGTTTAGAAGTAATATTTTTTTTCTTTCTGTTATATATTTTATTCAAATTAGTGTATTCATAATTTAAGGGTCGCTAGGATACTCATTAAGAATTCAAAATAAGAAAAATATTATATATTGAATGTATATAATATTTTTTTTGGATGAGTAGTCTAATGATTCTAGTTTATCGATTAAAATTTGTGTTTTTTTATTTAATGTCTTTATATAACTATCAATTATCAATTGAACTATTTTAACGTGATAATATATATAGTATTTTATAAAAAAAATTAAATATTTATATTTTTAATGTAATTAATACACATATTTTTAGAAAAAACTTATTTTTATTAAAAATATTCAATTTAATTTTTTAATTTCTTAACCATTTTACATAATTTAATTGTTTTTCATAAATTCTTTAGAAAGAAAAATATCCAAAATTATAAAGAGTGTCAGTATTGATTTATTTATGGAACTGTAAAGAAAAGTATTTATTTTATTTATAATATATTACGTGAGTCATATATAAGCAAGTAAAATTAAAATTATTATCAAGAAGTAGCTGTTCCTGGCTGAAAGTGAAGCACCATTACACACTTTCAGTACTTCGTCTTGTCACCGTTCAGTCCACAAACAACAACTTCATCCCTTCTTTACAACACCACTCCCTCAATTCTCTCTCTAGAATACAACAAAAGCTCTCTCTCTCTAAAAGAAGAAGACAAACAAGAGAGCAGAGAGAATTCGGCCATGGACACGGCAGCGCAGCTCGTCTACCGTGGAATCGATCCTTTTCTCCGTTCCTCTCATTCCCGCCGTCACAAAAACATCTCTCTCCGTCGCCGTTCTAACCGCGTCTCCGCTGTCGCTACCGATCCTAAACCTGCTCCGGTCACAACCGTCAACGGTTCTTCAAAGTCTCCTCCTACCAAACCTGTCAACGGTGTCTCCCAGGTAACTAACTTTCCGAGTTCACTTTTCACGAATTTTTTCTTTGTTTAATCGGCTAAATTCTCTCTGGAATTCGATTCGTCTTGTTTAATTGTTGGAAATGAAATGAAATGTAATGTATTCTCGCGTGTTTTATTTTCCTTCAGAGAATTGGTGATGTTTCCAAAGAGATTAAGAGAGTAAGGGCGCAAATGGAAGAAGATGAACAGTTGGCGACTCTCATGAGAGGTCTTCGAGGTCAGAATCTTTCAGATTCCCTCTTTGCTGAAGATGATGTTCAACTACGTCTTGTTGAGGTATTCAATGGATACGAAATTCCATGTGTAAATATTCTACTATTTTTTTTTGTTGACATTTTTGAGTTTCCTGTGATATTTGTATTTTTTTCTTCCTTTCAAATATATATGACATTTCTATTCTTTTCTTCCTTTCAAATATATGACATTTCTATTTATGGTTCATGAAGAACATTCATTACTCATTATAATCGAGCTAGTGAGCTAGTAGTTTTTGTGTGTGTGTGTGTGTTAGGATACTGGGTTGGGCCTTAGTCCAAACTAAATAAGTAGGAGTCGGTTTAGTTAGTATTCCTCATATAAATAGGAGTGTATGGGGCAGTATTTAGGATTATTTTCTGTTTTTCATATTGGGGTTTGGGGCAGTGAGGGAATTGTTTTCTCTGACTGAGGAGCAGTAGCTCTGGGATTATAGGGATCAGTCTCTGTAATAGTTTCTTAATTCAATCAATAATATATTTTCTATTCATCTTAATTTTTGATCCCTACCAGTGTGAATATATGTTATTTGATGTGGTTGGTAATTTCCCAAGAAAAAAAATCTGGATAGTAATGTAATTGAGTTTGTATTTTTCATCTGTGTAGGTAGATGAAAGTAGTGAGTTTTTACCATTGGTGTATGAACCGGCTAGCATTACTGCATATTGGGGGAAACGTCCTCGCTCCGTGGCAACTCGCATTGTACAGTTATTATCTGTTGCTGGAGGTTTTCTTTCACGTGTTGCCTGGGATGTGATTAACAAGAAGGTTAAAGAGGTAATTCTTCTTTGTACAGATAGGCCGAGCACCTTCCATATATACATTCTTGATGTGGTGGTTGTCGTAGGTGGTTTAAATTTTTCTCCCCCGCTTCCTTTTCTTGATTTTAGTTATTCTGCTTTTTCCAAAAAAATTACATAATTAGTATAACTTTTTAAAAATATTTAAGTTTAAAAAGTTTCTTAAACACAGAAGAGCCCCTAAAGTAGTTTTTATTTAAAAAATGGAAGTTTTACTCTAAGAAATCATCCCAATTAGAGAGTTCGAAAATAAGAAACAGAAATAGAAAGAATGTGTTAATATATCTTATATGTAAGAAGTTTTCTAGTTTTCAAATAGGGAAGATCCCTTGTAAGTATTATATTTGTATTGGCTAAATTTATCAGATTATAACATTATTAAACTATATCCAAGTCCTATTGTATGTTTTTAGTTATTGTTGTGTTTGTTTATAGCTGTTCAAAAAAAATTCTTTGTTGAGTTTATTGTGCTTGGTCTTTAAGGCATAGACAGAGGAAAAGGAATTCTTAGAACGATAACATTGTATTGATTCGAGGTGAACGATATAGATCAAGTCACACGCAGAAGTTTCATAATTTGCATTAGAAGTTTCCAGTTCTGTATGGAAGAGCTTATAGCTTGAGCTTGTGTCATGCATAAATTTAAGTTTATAAGTGTTGATATTTGTAAATATATAGTGTTAAGAATATTTGTAGGTAGAATAGTACCACATTGATTATATCATGTAATTAGTTGTAATCTTTCTATATATAATAAAGTCTCCATAGTGCTTTTAAAATATACGGTTTAATGTAAATGTCTCTTAGTCTCTCCTAATTCTACATGGTATCTAGAGCCTACTAAGAGGCAATTCTTCACCGTGCAACACACGGTTGACCCACTTTCTTTCGGTGATAAATTTTTTTTTTTTTGTAAACTGTGTCATCACCCCGGTTTGCCTCTCATTGTCCAAAATTCTCCGATAACCACCGGACTGCTGCCGCCATCCGCCGCTATTAATTTTGACGACCTTCCGGCCAACTAACCCTACCGGCAAAAGCGTCTTCTTCGATCCGATCAATCCTCGCCACCGTGCAATTTTTCCAAATCCGATACTCATGGCTACTCCTCAGAATTTTACGTCAAACTACGATGATTTCCTCAAGTGGTATCAGAATTATCAGAACTCAGATTCTACTGCTTCGGTTGCACACACTGGTAATTCATCTGTTTGCTCCTCTCAATCATCTTCTCTTGGACCTTGGGTCCTTGATTCTGGTGCGTCTGATCATGTCACTGGTAATAAAAATCTTTTCTCTTCTCTCTCTACCTCTGGTTTCTTACCTACTATAACTTCTGCCAGTGATTCTCAAACCCAATTCAAAGGAATTTGTACTGTTCAAATTCTACATTCTTTCTCTGTTACTTCTGTACTCTACGTACTTAATTGTCCATTTAATTTACTTTCTGTCAGTCGTTTAACTCGTTCTCTTGATTGTATTGTCACCTTCACTAATAGTAATGTCACTTTGCAGGATCGGAGTTTGGGACAGACAATTGGTGTCGAATGTGAGTCTCAAGGCCTTTATTACCTCTCAGTGTCATCTCAGACATCCTCAGTCAAAGATTCTCCACTCACAATCCATGCTCAGTTAGGTCATCCTAGTCTTCCCAAATTACAGAAGTTGGTGTCAAGTTTATCGAAAGTATCTAATTTACATTGTGAGTCGTGTCAGTTAGGGAAACACACTCGTAGTCAATTTTCCAATCGAGTCAATAAACGAGCTTCGTCCCCTTTTGCTTTAGTTCACTCTGATGTTTGGGGTCCCTCACGTACTATTTCTACTCTTGGGTCTAGGTATTTTGTCACCTTTATTGATGATTTTTCACGTTGCACATGCTTATTTTTAATGAAAAATAGATCAAAATTATTTTCTATTTTTGAAAATTTTTATAAAGAAATAAAAACTCAGTTTGGTGTGTTTATTCGTACCTTAAGAAGTGATAATGCCCGTGAATATTTATCCCAACAATTTCAAACTTTTATGTCCAGTAATGGTATTCTCTACCAAACATCTTGCCCTTATACACCTCAACAAAACGGAGTAGCCGAACGCAAAAATCAGCATCTTGTAGAAATCACTCGGACCCTACTTCTCCATGGTAATGTTCCACTTCGGTTTTGGGGAGACGCTGTGCTAACGTCATGTTACCTTATAAATCGCATGCCATCATCTGTCCTTAACAATAAAATCCCTCATTCAATCCTTTTTCCCCATTCCCCCCTTCACCCAATTTCTCCCCAAGTCTTCGGTTCCACATGTTTTGTACACAATCTCTCTCCTGGTCTTGATAGACTATCAGCTCGATCACTAAAGTGTATTTTTTTTTGGTTATCATCGATCCCAAAAAGGTTATCGTTGCTATTCATATACCCTACAACGATATCTCATGTTGGCCGATGTCACCTTCTTCGAGTCTGTTCCATATTTCGAGTCCAGCCAAGTAACTCCGGAACCCCTTCAGGAGAGTACTCCCACACCTTTTCTGGAAGTCCCATATGTTACTATCCCCCACCATTCTAGGGAATCTGGCCCACTAGATAACCCTACGAGTTGTCAACCACCATTCAACGTCGTCAACCAACGTCTGTCGTACATGTCCCTGAGGTCGTACCTGTCCCTGAGGTCGTACATGTCCCTGAGGTCATTGCAAACTCTCCTCTGACGCTCTCGCCATCACCGGATCCGATACTGCAACCTGAGTCCGATCTTCTGATTGCTCTTCGAAAAGGTATACGTCAAACACGGAATCCTTCTCCACATTATATTGATTTATGTTATCATCGTCTTTCCCCTTTGCAGTATACTTGTTTGTCTTCTTTGTCTTCTGTTTCTATTCCTAACACTTCAGGTGAAACATTATCTCACCCTGAGTGGAGGCAAGCAATGATTGATGAAATGTGTGCTCTTCAAAGCAGTGGTACATGGGAATTGGTTCCTCTACCCCCTGGAAAATCTTTAGTAGGTTGTCGTTGGCTTTATACAGTGAAAGTTGGTTCAGATGGTAAGATTGATCGATTTAAAGCTCGCTTGGTAGCCAAAGGATACACTCAAATTTTTGGGTTGGACTATAGTGATACATTCTCGCCTGTAGCCAAGATGACATTTGTTAGACTTCTTCTAGTCATTGTAGCCATTCAACATTGGCATCTTCATCAACTTGACATCAAAAATGCATTTTTACATGGTGATCTTGAAGAGGAAGTATATATAGAGCAACCACCTGGGTTTGTTGCTCAGGGGGAGTCATCAAATATGGTTTGTAGGCTACACAAGTCTCTTTATGGTCTTAAGCAATCTCCGAGAGCTTGGTTTGGCAGATTTAGCACTGTAGTACAACAATTTGGTATGGTCCGTAGTGAAGCTGACCATTCAATCTTTTATCGTCACTCAGCCCAAGAGTGTATATATCTTATTGTGTATGTAGATGATATTGTCATAACTGGTAGTGATTAGCAGGGAATACTCCAGTTGAAACAACAACTTTCGAATCAATTTCAGACAAGATTTGGTAAACTCTGGTATTTCTTGGGTATTGAGGTAGCCCAATCTAAAAATGGTTTGGTAATTTCTCAGCGGAAATATGCTATGGATATTTTGGAAGAAACAAGTTTGTTGAATGCTAAACCAGCTGATACTCCTATGGATCCAAGTGTCAAACTACTATCCAATCAGGGGAAGTCTCTATCAGACTCGGGAAGGTATAAGAGATTGGTTGAAAAGTTGAATTATCTCACAGTCACTCGTCCAGACATTTCTTTTGCAGTCAGTGTGGTAAGCCAGTTCTTAAATTCCCCTTGTCAGGAACACATGGATGCAGTTATTCGGATTCTGAGATACATCAAATGTGCTCCAGGAAAAGGTTTAGTGTATGAAGATAAAGAACATGCTCAGATAGTTGGATACTCCGATGCTGATTGGGCAGGGTCACCAATTGATAGACGATCCACCTCTGGGTATTGTGTAGTTGTTGTAGGAAACCTGATATCCTGGAAAAGTAAGAAACAAAATGTAGTTGCAAGATCAAGCCCGCCAAGGCAGAGTATAGGGCCATGACAATGGCAACATGTGAACTCATTTGGTTAAAACAGTTGCTCAAAGAACTTCAAATTGAAGAAGCAAGACCAATGACACTTGTATGTGATAATCAAGCTGCATTACACATTGTTTCAAATCCAGTCTTCCATGATAGGACCAATCATATTGAGATAGACTGTCACTTTGTCAGAGAGAAGATAGAATATGGTGACATCGTCACAAGCTTTGTCAACTCTAATGATCAATTGACAGACGTGTTTACAAAATCTCTGCGAAGTCCCAGAACTAATTATATATGTGGCAAGCTTGGCGCATTTGACTTATATGCTCCAGCTTGAGGGGGAGTGTTGATATTAGTAAATATATAGTGTTAAGAATATTTGTATGTAGAATAGTTCCACATCGATTATATCATATAATTAATTGTAATCTCTCTATATATAATAAAGTCTCCGTAGTGTTTTCAAAACACACGGTTTAACCTAAATGTCTCTCAGTCTCTCCTAATTCAACAATAAGCTTCCTATAGAATCAGCTTCAGTTCCTTATATTGTATTTCATACTCCTTCTTCGAAATGCAGTTTTAGATAGTGTTGGAAATTACTCCACCTTAATTGCGGCATTTGGACTGCCATAATTGCAGCCTCCAGCAACTTCATTGTGCAGGCGTGAGGGGCTGAATTTAGTCCCGCATCACCTAGAGATATGGCCTAAAGTTTTTTTTTTGAACTGCATGATATGGCTTTAGTAATGCTTATAAAGCTTGGGCCGTTCTGACCTTATAAGCTGAATTTGTAAACACAATTTTATAAGTTTCCAGACCGTGGATCGATCCCTTTAAACAATTGAAATAATACTCAGAAATATTTTTCTACCTATTGCATTATGGTTATTCATTTTAGCTCTTTGCATAACCAGAATGAAGTTGCCAGGGCTATTGAAATACGTGAAATTGTGACATCTTTGGGTCCAGCATACATCAAACTCGGGCAAGCATTGAGCATTCGACCAGATATACTGTCACCTGCAGCAATGACAGAGCTACAGAAGCTCTGTGATAAAGTAAGATTTGCTGCTCTTTTACCCGTTCATTGCATGCTCTCTTCTATATATCCCATTGTTTCCTTTTAAATGAATCTATATTTGTCATACATAAGAAAAATAGTGAGCCAGAGGAAAGAGTTAATAACTTGATATTGGTTGGACAATTGTGATTTATTTTTGTAGTCAATTTGAGCAGCATAAAAGCAAAATATTTTTCCTCCATATCAGAAAAATAAAACATAGTTGACGGGCTGCATATTTTTAATGTTTTATGTTTTAATTTTCGAAACAACTTTCTGCAGCGACTTTTCTTTCTTAAGCTTATTTAGCTAGATAGAACTATTGATCCCTACTTACAAAAATTGTAGTCTGATGTTTTGGTAAACATCGAAAAATTATTAGCAGTTAAACAACTACATTTTCATTTCTGATAATGTAAGCTCATTCTGTTGCTGAGGTTCCTTTGTTTTTGCTGGGGGTGTGGGGGGATTCCATAAAATGTGAAGGTTCCTTCATTTGCAGATGATTTGGCTATGGCTCTAATTGAAGAGGAGCTTGGTCAGCCATGGCAAAGTTTCTATTCTGAATTATCACCCTCTCCCATTGCTGCTGGTAGCTCTCCATACCATATATATTGCATTCCTACTAGAAAAGAAATCTAGTCTCTCATTGCTGTTTTTTGAGTTAACTAATCAAGAAGTATTTATCTTTTGGTTAAACCTATGCAGCATCTCTCGGACAGGTATATAAGGGCCGCCTCAAGGAAAATGGGGATTTGGTTGCTGTTAAAGTGCAAAGACCTTTTGTGCTAGAGACTGTTACCATTGATTTATTCATTATCAGGAACCTTGGTTTGGCTCTTCGAAAGTTTCCTCAGGCAAGTTAAATTCTTGTGAGCATAGACTTTTAGTCATGTATGTATATTTGATTAATTATTATGGCTTGGTAGTAGTAATTTTGGTGATTTAATGATTCTAAGTCAATTGCTCATTATACTTGTTCTCCTCTGAACCCAACTGCTTTTTACTTAATTTTTTAGATCTCCATTGATGTGGTTGGGTTGGTTGACGAGTGGGCTGCTCGATTTTTTGAAGAGTTAGACTATGTAAATGAAGGTGAAAATGGAAACCGTTTCGCCGAAATGATGAAGAAAGACCTGCCACAGGTGAGTTCAAAAGTTTCTTATTTCTTATGAATGGCAGAAACAAACCCACTCTGTTTTACGTCAGTATTTACATGAAGCAGAAATTCTTGACAGAATTGAGCTGAACAATGTGTTCCTCCTGAGTGCCTAGGGAGAGAAAGAATGATAACAGACTCTATCTAGGAATCAAGAGCTTGGTCTCTTTCCTCAACACATGAATCGGATTCTTTCTATCTATTTATAAGTTATAAGTTATAACATCCTAACCAATTAACTTCTCTAACAGCCTACATGGCCTGTTCTCAACTGACAAGGCCTGACTAACATGGATGATCCATTTGATTTCTTGGACCCATGTTTTAAACCTTCCAAATTGGAGGTTGGGTTATTGGGTGCTAATAAATACCCACTGACAGGACCGTCTTTGAGGGCGTGCAAGGGGTGGCCTACCGCACAAGGCTTCAAAATTTTCAAGGTTAACTTATGGTTAAATGGGGTCTCATATTTTTTAGGTAAATTGTGATTATATAGGACATCTATTTATTTTGTCCTTGCTAAATTGTGACTAATCTATACAGGGCCTCCAAAAACTTGAGACGGCTCTGCCCACTGATGTTACTTTCTTTCCTCTGTTCGCGCAACATGCTCTTTTATTGACTTGTTTTTATTTGATGTAGTAACTAAAAAAAAACAGGGTTAAGTTTCTACATAATAGGGTTACATTGCTAATTATGAGAGCTTCATATCTACTAATGCCCAATGGCCTAATTGCATGTGCATTACTGATGATATGATGAGACTAAGAATATAAGGCTAGAATTTTCTTCATTGGAGTTATAAATTTGTTTCGACTAATTGATGCTTACTACTCCCTCCATTCCTTTTTAATTGTTATTTTTTAGAGAAAAAAATTGTTTCTTTTTAATTGTCACTTTCAAAGTTTAAAGTAGTAATGATTATTGTTTTGTCATAATTACCCCTAATATTTATTATGGAGAGAAAAAGTAAATTAAAATAATAAATAGTTAAAGGTATTATAGGTAAAATGAAAGTTATTGTTCAAAAAGTAACAACAATTATTAGCTTGGTATGTGTAAAAAGTTAAAAAATGACAATTATAAAGGAAAAAAATGATTGTATATATGGCACACCTTTACATTACTATATATATCATAATAGTTGAAGAAAAAAATTAATTTAAAATCTGTCTGGATAACACTTTCGTCAAAATGTTGTTTAATGTTAATTATTTGTGAGCTGTACCTTTATAGTAATACAAAAAATGCTTTTGAGAGGAATTTTGTTGCATCTTATTACAAATCAATTTCAGGTTGTAATACCAAGGACTTATAGCAAGTATACATCAAGGAGGGTTCTTACGACAGAATGGATTGACGGAGAGAAGCTTTCACAGAGCAAAGAAAGCAACGTCGGAGAATTGGTTAACGTTGGAGTCATCTGCTACCTAAAACAGGTGATTTATTATTTTAATTCTTTCAGCTGGTACTATACTGCATTAGGACCAGTGAGCTTTAAGCTACATCTTTTTCTAATACTGTTACTTTTTTTATACAGTTTAGGGCTTTTATCTATTTTCATTACTTGCTTTCATTGAAAAATACAAAATGTCACTTTTTTTTTTCCTGCTGTTTCCTGTTTTCAAACATTTATGTAGGGGAAAAAACAACTTCCTGTTGTATAATTATTAGTATAAACAAGATATGAAAACAAGTAGTGTGTTGAAAATCTTAACAACAAAACGCGAACTATCATCCATGTTGTTACTTGTTACTTCATTTTGTCAGAGAGGGCATCTTTTAGACCATACTCAGGCACCAATATTCCAAAGACTTGAGGAGGCTATTCTCATAGCAACATATTATCTTATTAATCAGCGATCCTCTAGAGTCTTGGGGTTAATGAATCATATGGATGATCTTTCTTTATTTTGTCAAATATTATCAATCTTCCACCATGGGTCTTTAAGTGTGTCTAAACTGTCCATTTTTATAGTTATGATAGGGGAAAACCTGACCCTAGAGAACTCTTAATTTTTTTTAGTTGTGCGCTCCTTCACTAAAATATGATTCAAATGTTATGATGCTCCATCCAAGAAGTCCGTTGTGCCTCGGGATGTAATGCTTCACGAGGATGAAGCTTATTTCTCACAACCTTATCTTCGGGGGAGAATTTAAAGGAAGATAAGGAAATTTATTTTGAAATTCTTGCTCTTCCTATCCTTGAGTCAAATGTACCTAATCCTGAGACAAAGCAACCATTTGTTCAATCGCCACCTACATGAACCTTAAGTTGATGTCAGATTTGGAAAAATAAAATTGGAGTTCAAGAGAACACCAAAGGTCATTCCTGAATCAACACATGTTTGAGAGTTCAATCCAACTCCTTCATATTAGGTTGCATTCTGAGTTTGTAGTATTACATAATATATGCCCAGTCTCTCAAAATGAAACTAAAACTTATCTTCCAGCCCCTCAAAACGAAATAAAAAGCCAAATTGTTGAAGATAACTTTGAACTCAAAATTGCCATTTGAAAAGACACCAAAAAGTGTAGCAAACAGCCACACAGCCACTCTCAGTCTACCTCATTTAAAAAATTCTCACCAATCCACAAAACCTTTTAAACCTGAACACTACGTTCATTCTCGATAATGTTTAAGACATTGTCTGATAAACAGTGGAAACAACCCATAAATATAAAATTAGAGGCATTGGAGAAGAATAAAACACACTAGTGTTGGTTATTTTACCTGAAGGAAAACCCATTGCTTGCAAATTGTTGTATACAGTACAGTACAAAGCTGATGGGTTGATTGAAAGGTACAAAGAAAGATGGGTAGCCAAAGGTTTCACATTGACCTATGGCTTATTTAGAGATATTTGTTAGATTGCAAAAATAAATGCAGTTTGGGTAAACTTACCTATTACTACAAAATATGGTTGAGAATTACAACGATTTGATGTGAAGAATGTGTTCCTACATGGGGGACTAAGAACACCCACATCCATCATACCTATTTGGTTTTTAAATGGGTTCCACTAAATTTTTTACAATATTCACTTTCAAATTATTTAAACAACTCAACTACATTTTCTAAATATCCATACAACCCATTCAAAACTCCAAAATGAGTCCCACTAAACCTCACAATATACTCGCCCTTTGACTCTAAAAAGAATCAAATGAGATGAAGAACGTTCTTTAGTTTAACAATGTCTGTTAATTGGAGGACCATTTTGCCAATCAATTATCCATCAGCTCTGACACAGTAACTTTGGTAATTGGGTAGCAACTCCAATGTTCAGCCGATAATCATGCTCTTAAAGAAGGAAAATGGAGGTACCAGTACCGCTAGGATATTGTGAAGGTGTTACTGCAAAACTATTTGCAGATAAAAAAGTATTATAAGAGCTGTAACAATCATCTAAATCATGGTTTGGTAGATTCAGTAAGGTTATACAAACAAAGTCAAGGAGATCACACTTAATTCATTAAATTCTCATTTTAAGAGGGAGTGAGATAATTGCTAGTGTATGTGAGTGATATTATTTAGACTGGAAATAATAGGAAGTGGAGCATTTTTAGGTCCATAAACTTTTAAGTAAATTGTATTTGGGGTCCCTAAACTCAGACCTATTTACAAATTATTTAAAATGCAGTGACTCATTAAAAAACTTGTTCAAAGATCTTATAAATAGTTTTGAGAAATTCAGGGACTCAATTACAATTTTATTTAGTTCAGTGACCCATTTAAAAAATTCCAAAAGGGATCTACAAAATAATTTAACCTTAAGTAAAATTTGAATAAACTATTCTTGCATTGATTTATTTTCATTTTATTTCAGCTGCTTGATACTGGATTTTTTCATGCTGATCCACACCCAGGGAATATGATCCGTACTCCTGATGGAAAACTTGCGATACTTGACTTTGGTAGGTACTAGGTAGTCAAACATTGTATTGTATATTTGTAAGTGAAATTTTCCCTGTCTGATTCAAATGTGATCATCAGTGACATATTTTTCATTTTTGTTGCTGTACTTTCCTCAATATGACATGAAATTCTCTGTTCTCTAGTGTTTGGTTTACTGTCCTAAACTTGATAGTTGATAATGTCTGTTGGCAAATGCACTATTTTAGAAAAGATATGATTATTTTCTTCATATATCAATATATAATTACAGTGAGCTGTTTTAGAAAAGATGAATTATGATCTTTTTAGATTAGAATGCATTGATTTAAGAAAATAAGTGAGCTCTCTAATGTTCATTTTAAGCTAGAAGCTTTTCAAGAGAGAAAATTAGTGAAATTTTGAATACATATTCGCATATACAGTAAAATTCAAATATGGATGTAGTAAGAATTATAATTGTTTATATATATTTTTTGAAAACTCAGTATCCAGTTCAAGGATCAACTAATCTGGGGAATAATCCCACTCTCCACTAGAGGGGCTCAATTGAAACCATTGTAATTGTTTATCTTTATACTATCCAATATAAAAAAAGTGCTTTCAATAGTTAATGGTGAAATTTAACCCAAGTTGTGGTTAGCCTAAAACAATTTATTCTAGTGTAAAGGCAATTTTCAGTTTTCTTTTTAACTTTATTTTTTTCTCCCTGTATATGAATAAAAGACCATATCACAGTTGGAATGTTTTTTCTTAGCTTTTGCACAACGATCTTTAAACTTTAAGATCGAAGTGCTTTGTTGTTCTTGCAATTATGGCTAGATATTGTTCTTCAAAAGGTTACCTTTTGTCTCTATCAACTTTATTGCTTTTTACTGGATACTACTGGTGTTTAGGTGTTTTTATTCCACTATCCTAATCATTGTAATATATGATGGAAATCTATCTTTGTTTCCACGTAGGGCTTGTTACAAAATTGACTGACGATCAAAAGTATGGAATGATTGAAGCAATTGCTCATCTCATCCATCGAGATTATTCAGCCATAGTGAAAGACTTTGTTAAACTCGGTTTCATTCCAGATGGAGTCAATTTAGAGCCTATCTTGCCAGTGCTTGCCAAAGTCTTTGATCAGGCTTTAGAAGGTGGAGGGGCAAAAAACATAAATTTTCAAGATCTGGCATCAGATTTAGCTCAAATTACCTTTGATTATCCTTTTAGGATACCCCCATACTTTGCTCTTATAATCAGAGCTATTGGGGTTCTTGAAGGGATAGCTTTAGTTGGAAATCCTGATTTTGCCATTGTTGACGAAGCCTATCCATATATTGCACAGGTATAATAGTCTCAGGCATAATTTATTTTTTTCCATCCGTCATTGTCAAGATATTAGCTTATACTTTTAACTTTTGGTTACACGTCAGTGTTGATTTCTCCATGTTGTACTTGAAGGAAATAAGATCAGCCATTAGTTTTGAATTTGATTAACACGAGTTGCATGGAAGGAATACACGAGTTACCATGTCACACAGAATAAATGAAGCCAATGACATTTGTATTGGAATGAAATAGTGGAGAAATAGAAGGGGATGTAAACCATCGAATTTAAGCTAGGTGGCTGAAATGGACGAGGGTCTTAGGGGTATTATGTGACACAAAAGTACCACTCAAGCTGAAGGGAAAATTTTATCGGACTGCGGTAAGATCTGCAATGTTGTATGGGACACAATGTTGGACAGTTGAGAATCAACACGAGAATAAAGTAATGTTGGACACAATATTGTATTTGATGTGTGGTATGACTAGACGAGATAAGATTAGAAAGGACAATATTAGAGAGTGTTGGGGTAACATCTAAAGTAGAAAAGATGGTGGAAAATAGATTTAGGTGATTTGGGCATGTAGAGAGAATACCTGGAGATTTTATAGTAAGGAGAGTAGATCAGATGGAAAAGAGTCAAGCAGGTAGAGGAAGACTTAAAAAAAAATTTAAGAGAAGTTATTAAGAAAGATCTTGAGATTAATAAATTGGATAGAAACATGCTTCTAAATAGAACTTTATGGTGCAATTTGATCCATGTAGTCAACCCCACTTAGTGGAATAAGGCTTGGTTGTTGTTGTAGTGTCTGGAAATAAAATGGGGACATTGATGAAATTGGTAGCCTTCGAGGTTTAGAGGAGCAATACAAGGTAGAAATAACTATTATAGACAACATTATAACTTCTGAATTTGGATACATTTAGTCTTATACTTCCATTTTTGTGGAGTAGACCAAATTCTTCATCGGAAAATTTTCACCATCATCCGTGACAAGTTATAAATTATTTTCACTGTCACAACGGTGCAGTTTGATGATCTGATTAATAACTTTGAACACTGAACTCGTGTGATTTTGCATTACCACACTGGTAATTGGCCTGTATAGTCTGTTTAGATTCTTCTGAGTAAAACTAAATTGATGCAAATCACATTCATTGATAGAGGCTTTTGACGGATGAATCCCCTCGGCTACGGAGTGCTCTACGTTACACTATATATGGGAAATCTGGAGTTTTTGATGCTGAAAGATTTATCGATGTCATGCAAGCATTTGAGAATTTTATTACAGCTGCCAAAAGTGGAGGTGGAGAGGATCTGAAAGGGGATATGGCGGAGCTTGGGATTGTTACTAACAGGTCAGAATATCTCTTGCCGGGATTCCAGTCTGTGATACCTCAACAACAGCAGCCAGTGGAAACAAGGGCAGCCCTAGCATTTTTGCTGTCTGATAAGGGAAATTTTTTCCGAGAATTTCTATTGGACGAGGTACTTTCTATATGCCCTAAGAAGATTTTATATTATGTTCATTGTCATTATTGTTAGATGTAACTTCCTATCTTATTTAATTTAAATGTCTTTCTAGATGCTAAGTACACCCTCTGGACACTATTATAAGCAACTTTTACTAAAAGTTGCTTATAATAGTGTCACGGAGGGTGTAACTTAGTTATTATTATTCTTTCCATATGAAAGAACACAAATTTCCATCCTCGGTTTCTTTCATTTTATTGTTTGATTAACAGATCCTTGAGCTCAGTTAAATCTGATAACGAGTATGGTTGTTTATACACGAATTTGATTTAAGAAAATTTTGCCAAGGTACCTTGTTACTCTTGGGATTACTTATGTTGTACTTGTATGTTTCTTGTGGTAAAATTGTACATGGAGGCATTACTTTTGCCAAAACTTGTGGTACCCTGTTATTGCTGGGAATACTTATTTTTGGATTATGTTGCTTTTATCATGTTTTCTTTTATTTGTTTTTTTCTTCTTTGGTGGTGATATTATCTGAAAAGACTTCTGTATGACTGCTGCCGTGCTACCTATTGTGCCAAAGTTATTTTTTTGGGCGAGAGGCAGTAGTCTTCATAAACTGTTGTTGATAGCACTATTTAACATATTTAGTCTTTTCGAGTCGTCTTGGATTGTCATTGCCCATTACTTCCTGTTTAATGAGCTAGCACTGTTGCAATAGATTTGTTGTGTTAAAGTTTATTATGAATGAATGCTGGTTCCTCATTGCTATGCATATATTGATTTATGGAGAGTTGTAATCATTTGACTCATTATTACTGGGGGAAAACAGATTGTTAAGGGCATTGATGCAGTAACTAGGGAACAACTGGTAAAAATAATGTCCTTACTAGGAGTTCAGAATGCAATCCCTATTTTCAATATGGTGCCTACTATTGGACGTTTTAAGCCCGCAGCTCTTATACCCACCATTACTGAGGAGGATAAGATTATACTAAACAATGTCCAGAAAGTCCTGGAGTTCTTGACTGCAGGAAGTTCTCTGTCAAGCATATCTAGTCAAAGCACATCTAGTCAGGTAATAAAATTTTTACTGTGGAAAATAATGTGTACACTTTTGGTTTGGATAAGTATTTTTTACAATAAATAAGTGCATGCGTATTTATTAATTTATTTTAGCTATATAATGTTCAACACACTTATTTACCTATTTGTTTGCGGGTCGCCTTAGGCACTCAATGTTCCTCAGATTATCCAAGAGCTTCTGCCAGTGTTGCCGGGTATCTCTACTAAAGTGCTTCCTGACGTTTTTAGCAGATTATCTTCTCGGGTATTCGCGCGATTAATTCGTGATGCATTTTTGTAAAAAAAATTCTATCTACCTACAATTCTGTATACTTGACAGAATGGACAAAACCACAATACCAGTATATATATATATATAAATATAAATATAACCAATTTACCCATGTTCACTATTGCTAAAAAAAAAATCTTAACCGTGACAGAATGGACATTATTTCTTATGTTATTTAAACAAAATTATTTTTTATTTTAATACTGGTTATTGTATATAAGAAGGTAAAAGCATCCAACATTGGATGTTACTCATTTAGTGATTTAGTGTAGGATTTGTCTTATGTTCAGTATATCAAGTGGTTACATTCTTTTCATTTTCTAGGTACCAGTTTTTTCACATGTAAGAACACGTTAACAAAATTGTATACTTGTGTGGAAAAGACACTAACACAGCAAGCATCTCAAATTGAATTTTTTTCCTAAAGAACTAGAAACTTTGACTCTAATTAAAATTTTATACATAATTTTACACAAAATTGGTTTTGCATCTCAAATTGAATAAAATTTTAAACGGACTGTCTCTTTAAGACGTAGAAACTTTGACTCTAATTAAAATTTTACATAATTTTACGCACAAAATTGGTTTTGCATCTCAAATTGTATAAAATTTTAAACGGACGGTCTCTTTATGACGTTTTGTGAAATTGCCTAAATTGTGCAAGACAAATGATTAACCACGAAATCTTTAAAATTAAACAACGTAGTTCAAAAAGCTATTATTATTATTATTATTATTGTTATTATTATTGTTATTGTTATTATTATTATTATTATTGTTGATGAATAGTAGATAACAGGTCAAGAAACATCCTCAAATAATGGTTATTTGACAATTCTATGTAATTTTTAAATAAAAAAAAATTTAAATAATTTTCAAAAGAGAATTTAATAATATTCATTTGACTATTTCAAATAATTTAAATAATTTATCGAACGAAAAGAAATTCAAATAATTAAGAGATTTTAAGAAATAATTAAAAGATTCAACGAGTTCCACAATTCAAAAGCGTAGAGTAATGAGAATGAAGAAGAAAAAATTCAAATATTTTTTTTTAGGAAATTTCTTAACGCATTTTATAATTTTCTATTGTATTATGTGAATTTTCGAAAATGCTTTCCGATTTTGAAAATGTATTTTTGGAATGTACCTTTACACATGCAATTCTTTCATTTTTGAGATACATTTTATTTTATAATTTAATATATTTTGAAAATATATTTTTCAAATAACATTGGAAATATATTTTCGGTTTCTATGTGTATGAAATATTTTTAAAAAGCTATTACAAAGATACATTATCCAATTTATTTTTATCCTATCCAAAAAATTTAGTCAAAAATTGTATCATACAGGAAATGTATCATATATTATTAGTAATATATTGTAGGGTTAAATATATTTTTTTTTTCTATAAATATTTCAAATTTTATTTTAAGTCTTTATTAAAAAATATATAATTTAGTCTCTACAAATTTTTTATTCATACAGTTTTAGTTCATGTTATTTTCTAAAATTTTGAAAACTACTTAATTATCTTTAATTTTTAAAATTTTAAATAATTTATTTCATATGTCTTTAAAATATTATAAAATATTTATTTATCAAATTTTAAAATTTTTTAAAATGAGAAGAATTAAACATGAATTTTTTAAATTTTAAAAGATATTATGAAAATAATGAAAATCTCGACTTAGAAATCAAATTTTGAGTTCTTTTTTTCTGAAAAATTTTTTATAACGTTCTAAACATATACAAAATAATCACTCAAAAATACACATCAATTTAACAGCAAAAATTAAAACTACGTACATAATAATTATATGGACTAAAACATGCAAGATTTTTTAATAGGGACCAATTTTTTTTATAGTAATTTATAGGGAAAAAAAACATATTTAACCTTGTATTGTATTATAATTGTCAAAAGAAAAAAAATATTGTATATTGTATCATATTGAATATTGAATAATGTATCATATAGGAACCAAAAATGCATTAGTAATATATTCATATAGGAATCATTGAATAATGTATCATATAGGAATAAAAAATGCGTTAGTAATATATTCGTATAGAAATCAGAAATGTATTTTCGGTATTATTTCTAAAATATATTTTTTGAATAAATTTTGTCGTAAAATGAGGTGTATCTCAAAAACGAAAAATTAGTATGTGTGAGGGTGCGTTCCGGAAATATATTTGTAGAAGTCGAGGGACATTTTTAGATTTTCATAGGTTTTTTTAACCCCATAGGATAGATTAAGAAATTACATTTTTTATATATAATATTGGAAACTAACTATACTCCATAAGTAGTGATGACAAAAATATCTGTATCTGTGGATATTCGTGGATAAAACCTGTCACAGATACACGGTAAATAGCTTAATAGATATCCACAGATAAAATAAATAGATATTAAAATACATGTTTGTTAACGAATATGAATACAAATTTAATGTTACTTGTACCCGCAGATATCCGTATCCGTTAATAAATTGTAAAAAATCAAATATTATTAGTTTATTATACTATATCTTTTCAAATATGGTTATAATCTAAAGGTTTATTTTTTGGCTTCATTATTTTATTTAAAAGTGATTTTTTTTAATTTTTCTAACATAATATAATAATAATTATTTTTATCTTCGAGAGGAATTTCAATTTTTACATTTTCTATTCCTTCTAGAGAGCAAATACTTCAAATTTTAGAGTTGTCTGAAATATCTGAAGTTATTTCTTAAATATCTTCTTTTATAGTAGATATAAGATTTGATTCTCTTGTAAATAAATTTTATTTGTTTGGACAAACAGAAGATAAATGTCCTAGTTTATTACAAGCAAAACAAGTAATTATATTTCTATAAGTCTTGTTAGGGTTATATTTTCTGACATGTTTTTCTTTTTGTTTAAATACGGTTTTTTGGCATTAGATTTTCTTAAGTAATTTTTCTTTACATAATTTTTCTTAAATCTAGACTGGTTCCTCTGATTTTTATTATCAGGATGCTTGCCATATTCTTGAGAAATATACATTTGTTTACAAAATCTTACATTCTTTTGTTTTAATTCTTTCTGAATTTGAATATAAGTATATTATTTATTTTTTAATTTAGAAATAATGTATTGTATTCTTATTCCAATGTTATCAAATTCATTATTAACTTCTAATTTCTTTCAATTTTTATGAATTTCATGACCTAATAGTCATGGTAATTTGGTAAATAATCTTTCTCCCAATTCTATAGAAAAATAGTTTCCTGGAGTGCTTGCTAAGGCATAAAAGTCTTGTAAAAATTCTATTATGTGGTTTCAATCATATAATTGAATTCTTTCTAAACCTCTCATGGCTTCAGCCTGTCTCATAGTTAATCCTACATTGGCATCTTTGCCTGTAATCATTCTGTGTATTAAATATGTAAAATTATTAATATTATTTCCTTGAGTTACTAATTCTGTTGATTTTTCTGGAAAATTAGTTTTAAATGCTTCTCAAGCAGCTCTAGCTATATCTTCTAGATAATTTTAAGCAATTTTAAACATTTCTTCACCTGTTGTAATATTATAATGTTTGCTTTCATAATCTTTGATTACAAAAGAAGTCCATTGCTCAATGTATGTATCTAAAAGTTGTGGATGCATATTAATAATGTTTAACATAACTTGTCTATATCCATACAAATTAATTTCATTAGGTTTTCTTTTTCCTAATGTCCTTAGGTTATGATTGTTGTTAGTATAGACAGCCACAAGCTATCTTGAAGGGTGTCCTATAGAGTAATCCATTTGAGTTGATCTACTATTTGGAAATTTGGATGTAGCAGAGTTGCTAGATTCTTCATTTACTAAATTCTTTTCTGAGTAGTTTATCTCAGAATTTTCTTCTTCTACATTCTCAGTTTCTTCGAATAAATTTTTTAGACTTTGCACGTCTTCCAAATATTTTTCCATAAGGAATTTTTTGGTAGCATTTAGATTTTCTATTTCTATTTATGTATTGTATTTTTCCATTAAAAGTTCATCATTCATAATTTTTTAAAATTATTCTAGTGTTAAGACTTTTTCAGTCATCTTCGCTAGTTTGCTTATGAGTTTCCTCATAATTTTTAAATCTTAAAGCTAAAGAATCTTTGGTAGTATAAGTCACAACATCTGTAAGTGTTAATGTTTCAGCTTCAGTTTGAATATTGTTTTTAATTTTTCATTCCTCTTCAGCTAAAAGAGAGGAGGGAATTGGTTCTGGACCAAAAAAGTTAATTCCTCTTGGTGTGATTGTTTTAACCATATCATCAATTTTAAGTTTAAATTTTGATGAGACTTGTGTTGATAATTTTCCGAGAATAATAATGTCTATCACAATATTTGATCCTTTAAATTTTTTAAATCCTTTACTATGAACTTGAATTCTTATGTATTTAAATCTTTAATTCTTATGATAAAGTTTGAACATAAATAATGAATTCCACAATTATTATTCATGGCTACTTCAATTACTCTCATAATTTGTCTATTTAGTTCTCGATACCTAGTATCTAATATGGCTATTAGTACTTTGGCACCATTTTGTTTCATTACTAGACCTCTTACACTAGTTGTAATTAATCCTAAATGTATATAATTCATTTATTTTTTATTTAATTGGTTTATACTGTCATTTGTTTCAATATGATCATCTGGTAATTCTAGCATTTTTGACCTGTGTGTTCTAATTAAGCTTAAATTATTTTCAAAGAATTCAGACTTGTATAGTTGGGTTGGTCTTAAGAGATTAATGTGGTCATTTGTCATAATTTCTAAGTCTTTATTAGTGCCCACAATTTGTTCTAATTGATAAGAATTTTTATCTTCTTTTCTATTTAAAAGTTTATTTAAGTAGGAAGTATTTTGAGTTTGGTTTAAAGTGATAGTTCTAGATAAACTAGACTCCTCATCTATTAATGTTCTAAGTCGGCCAATAAAAGAATTTATAATTTCAAATATTTTTTAACTTCTTCTGTATTATAAGT